CAGGGATGTGATTTAGCAGAAGGTTATTAGAGTTAGGGTAGTATGATTAGTTTGTGCTTGGACTCGATGATCTTTAAGGTCTTTTCCAACCTGAGCAATTCCACAATTGATTGTTTCCTAAGATGTGCAAACATAATAAAGATAAGTTTTCTACATGCTAGCAAAAGTCCCTGAAATTAGGAACTTCAAACTGTGCTTCTTTGTTAATCTTAAGTGAGCCTTGAAAGAATCCTGGTTTGAAGACAATTAATGCAATATTTTAAAATTACAAAAGCTTTAAATTAATAGTCTGTTACATTCACATTACAAAATAAAAACATCTGAGCTTCTTTCTTGATGGAGAGCCTACAATGAAGTTAAGGGGAAAGTGCTCAGTAGAAAACTCCTTAAGACGTTTTTAAAGAGAACTGGTTTGATGAACATATGTTTTGGACTCCATAAGCACTATGGGGTTGAGACATGCCAAGAGAACTTCTTTCTCTTACAGACCTTTAGTCTTGCTCTCTGCTTCAGTGAATAGCAGTGAAAACATACAAATATCAGTATCATTGATCTACTTCTGTAGTTTGGTTTGTTCTTCAGATGAGAAGTGGAAAAGTAGTTTATTACTAAGGACATCAGAAATGGGAAATCAGACCTCTAAATGTTCATGCATTCCTCAAGTTCAGGTCACATTGTCTGTAGTGTCTCTGTGGGGATTTATATCCACAAAGACTCCAGCACCTGAACATATAGTTCAGGTATATAACTATATATATATATATAACTATATATATATAGTTGAGAGAGATAGTAGGAGTAATATACAAGTCTTTGGCTTAGCTATGTGTCCTTGTAGAGTGAAACAGGAAGGGAAATCATGGTGGAAAGCAGTATCAAACCCAGGATGAAGGATTTGCTTGTTTGTTGATTTAATTTAAGAAACCTCCAAAATATTTCTCTCTGCATTCAAGAACCAAAGGTCGTACAAAGTCACCAAGATACTTTCTCTGGGAGGCCGTGGCTCTCAAGTTTCCACTACAAGCAAATGAACAGTGCTGTAACAGTCAGCTAGCACTATACAGCTGCCTTAGCTGGAACAGTTACTGCAGTGTTTTTACTGTAAACATCTGAACAACTTCCACACCAATAAAATCAAAGTGAGAGTAGAAAATCCACCATGCAGAAACATGCCCAGGTGGTGAGGAATAATAACAAAAACATTTTTGTAATTTACAATTTTCAGTAGGTATGTTATTAACTGAACATTTCAAACAATTTTTACTTAGGTTTATGTTGGTGTTGTTGTTAAACAAGAACAGAAGGCATTTTTCAAATTTCAAATATATAATAGGCACAGACATGGCTTAGAATCTTCAAGGGGCAGGGTGGAAGAAAAGACAGTGTGGACATGAAGAATTCACAAGTCCTGGAACCTACACTTTTTGCAGAGTACTGTCACTCTTTCACCTTAATGTAAATACTGTCCATGGAGGTCAAAGTCTGAAAAACAGGACAATTACTTTGTGCAACTCATCAGCGTTTGTATTTATTATTATTATTAAATTATTTATTATTTGTATTGACCTGGTTACTAATGTTACTATAATGAGGAGCTCCAGGCTGTTCTTTATCATAAATTGCTTTCTGTATTTAGGATTAAATTCAACCAAAGCATTTTGAAGAATTAGCAAGTTGGTGGTGGGAAACTATGAAATCTACAAATCTACACAATTCCACAGAAATAACTTGGCAGATAGTGAGCTCATGCACTGGAGTCTAGGGGACTCCCCCAAAGTATCAGCATGTGCCTCTTATTTCCTTTATTTTTTGCCATGCTCATTTTTTTCTTCCCTTGCGCAGTCTAAATACAGTTTCAAAATGATAATGATGCAATATTTTTCCTTTAGCTACTTATGCAGTTTATTTCTATATAATCACTGTCTTTTGCTCAGATTCCTTTGTTTTCTCATGAAACATCTGAAAGTCCTTTGAAAATATAATCCTTTCACTGGAAAAGTAATAGTGGCACATAATGGATCTATTAGAAAGGCATGTGGCACAGAAAAGTTAGCAAATCCTGACCACTTTTGTGATAGTGAAGAGTGTCCTGATAGTTATAGGCTGCAATTGCATTGAGACACTTCTGCAGTTGAAATATTCTATCTTAAAAATGATTATTTACATGAGTCAATTTACATATGCGTATCTATTTGTATGTGTGCATGTATGTATATCCAGAAGTGTATCTGCCAGAAATACCAGACACATACACATATGGGAAACATACCAGAAGTATGTGAAGCAGAATTTGAGCAAGACTGTTCTGTGTGTATTATAACCAGCATGCTGAATAACTTACTGCAACAAGGGGCACTGCTGTATTTCAGATATTTTACTAAGAATAATGTGTAATAACTAAGAATAATGTCTAATAACTGAAGCTAATTCTTGATATTTTTTTAGTTCAATGTTTTTCAAATAGCCAGTGTAGGAATTTCATGCTTGGATGTATAATTGAAAAGCTGGGAAATCTGTGTGTTGGTTATGATTTTTTAATGTGAATTAACTTTGTATGGGTTTCATACTTGCTGTGTAAGCTTTGTCAGGAAGCAGCTTACTTTGCAGTGTGCTGTGCTGTTACCCATTCCCCTCACATTCTGCTTGTCTGTCAAAGAGTTAGCAGGGTCTCTATTACTCCAGCATCACTGTAAAGAAAATTCCAACAGCAAATGCCAGCAAAATCAGTGTAAAGGGAGACACTGCCCAACTGGGGCTGGGTGGTGATCTTTAGTCTGGCAGGGATGGAGAAGGCAAGATCTATGCGCTAGAGTAGCAGCGTGGGAGCTTCAGTCAGATCCAATCAGGGGAATTTGCTGAAAGAGTTGGACAAGGCAGGGGGACAGAGAAGGGGAAGGAAATTAAATATCTTCTTAGCATAGTACCCTGTGGGCTCTCAAAGAAATAGTGAACTGAAATATGGGGCATTTCCATTATTCATTGTGGTTTCCTTGCTGTAGTTTACCTGTTCTGAAAGAAAAATGCAACTAATCATGGAAATGATGTGGATGTTTGTGCATGCATGACATTTCTTTCATGGAAGTAAAGTGTAAAGCCCAGAAACCCATTATTTTGGAAGTGCTCTGTTGCTATGCAGTCTGTCCTGTCTCAGCACCAGCCTGTGAGTTTTGGGACAGTTGGATGGCAGGGCTCCAGATGCACAAACTAGTTACAGATAGAAACAATGCTCTGAGAAAGTTCCAGAGAGACAGAGGGAAGCAGTGCTGCTTAAAGCAGAGGAGCACAACACCCAAAGCTTCTGCAGTTATTTAGTTGGACTACAGCTTCTGGTTCTGTGAAAATAACGAAAGTCCAAGAATAAAATGGAAGTTAACACAATTATTACAGCTTGGCAGGCATTAAGAACATCCATGTTGCCTACTAAGATGTTGTCCAGGCAGACATCATATAGAAGCAGACTAGGTTATTTATGGGCAGGCAGAGCTTAATGTTTTTAATTCTGTAGATAGCTCAGGAGGCCGATCAGATTGGCAATATTAGCAGAATGCGTCAGAAAATCCCAACTTCTGTTACCACAAAATAGTAGAAGTATTTTTGAGGCGGATTCACAGTGGCGAGGCACCTAGCAGTTCTATTCATGTCTGAGAATTTTATCTGTTCTTATAATCAGGGAGAAGCCTCTTTTAGTTTACAATGTGCTGATAAATTTTATTTGTAGTGTCTAAGTGTTAAAAACTGACTTGTGCTTAATTTTTGTTACTACTGCCCATGCTGAATTTGTTTTTTAATGTTATGGATACTGTACGTATTCTTTTCTCGCAGACTATGCTGCAGGATTTATTATCTCATCCTTTAAATATACTATTGTTGCAGTTGCCAAGTGCAGTATAGGTATATATATGTTTACCACTATCAAATCGTGAAGTATTGTAAAAATTGTATTCATCCAAATATTTTTTCATAATCATTGTGAAATGGTAACATGATAAAGCTTTCTGTGGAGAAAAAAAATATGTATCTCAAAATGTCAGTGCTCCTGTATATCTAGATATTTTGACTAACTCAGTTTCTGACAGGAAACATTTCAGAGAAATGTTAGGCATAGACAGAAAATGAGTGCTGAACAAAAGATCCTTGATGAAATTACCACTTTCTTTTCAGTGATTTCTCACAAACATCTTTCACTGTAAATTTCCTTTTAGTTAGGGCAAACCTAACTCACCATCCATACATGCTTACACTTCTTCCTAAAGAAATGAACGTCACAGCATGAGACTGTAGGTGTTCTGGACTCCAAGAGGTGCAGAGCCAAGCCCCATCATGTATATGCTGATGACTGACTCAGTTGTTCTAACATTAGCAATGTTTCTACTAAATCATAGCCCATACGCATGTTGCATGATGAATCACCAGAAGTCTGGTCATTGGGGCTTCAGGATTGTGCATGTTGTGAGAACTGGGCCTGAGTCATGGCTATGGTACTTAATTCATGCTCAAAAATACAATGCAATCATTCTGCTTTTTAGGGTTTGTATTATACATGAGGGATACTGGAAAAGTCTGTGAGTTTGACTGCTAGCTTTAAAATAGTAATGCCTAACTAATGCTTTGCAGGGAGCTTGTTGCCTCTGAGATTCTCTGACACTGCTCACAGCTACAAGGAAATCAGAGTGCTAAAAATGAGGCCAAAAGGGAGGGGAGTGTGTGATGTGCTGTGTCATGTTACTTGTTCAGTATTGTTGCCCAGTGGCCAGCGAGGGAGAAGCCACTCTTTTGAATGCTCGTGAAGTAAAACAGATGCCATTCTCCTGCTTCAGCAGATTTAGTAGTATAACCTTGTTAGTTTTTGACATATGCACTCTGAAATATTTCAAATAAAAATTGCTTCGTGCTTAAGAATTGTTTCTATCAGTTATATGCATGGGTGTCCATGGGTAAGGGCTGAAGGCTTTCCTTTTCCCCCTGCCTGATGCAAATGTCTCTCTCCTGCCTGCCCCTAGGTACCAGATACACACCGGCCTTCAGCACTCCATTATACGGCCAACCCAGCCCAACTGCCTACCTCTGGATAACGTCACGCTACCTCAGAAGCTGAAGGAGGTTGGTTACTCAACACACATGGTTGGCAAATGGCACTTGGGGTTTTATCGCAGAGAATGCATGCCCACACAGAGAGGATTTGACAGTTTCTTTGGCTCACTCTTAGGCAGCGGTGACTACTACACTCACTTCAAATGTGACAGCCCTGGAATATGTGGCTATGACCTGTATGAGAATGATAATGCAGCTTGGGATCACGACAATGGCATCTACTCCACACAGATGTACACGCAAAAAGTACAACAAATATTAGCTTCTCACAATCCCAGGAAACCTATATTCTTATATATTGCTTACCAAGCTGTTCATTCGCCTCTTCAGGCACCAGGAAAGTATTTTGAACATTATCGATCCATAAATAACATAAACAGGCGAAGATATGCTGCGATGCTAGCTTGTTTGGATGAAGCCATAAACAACGTAACCCTTGCTCTAAAGAAGTATGGTTACTATGACAATAGCATTATCATATACTCTTCAGATAACGGTGGGCAGCCAATGGCTGGAGGAAGTAACTGGCCTCTCCGAGGGAGCAAAGGAACATACTGGGAAGGAGGTATCCGTGCTGTTGGGTTTGTCCACAGCCCCCTTCTGAAAAACAAAGGGTCTGTGTGTAAGGAGCTTGTGCACATCACGGACTGGTTCCCCACTTTGATCACACTGGCTGAAGGACAGATTGATGAAGATATCCAGTTAGATGGTTATGATATATGGGAAACCATTAGCGAAGGCAGACGTTCTCCACGGGTAGACATCTTACACAACATTGACCCAATTTACACCAAAGCCAAAAATGGTTCTTGGGCAGCTGGCTATGGGATCTGGAACACTGCAATTCAATCTGCCATCAGAGTGAATCATTGGAAACTACTGACAGGAAATCCAGGATATAGTGACTGGGTTCCTCCGCAGGCCTTCAGCAACATGGGCCCCAATCGCTGGCATAATGAACGTGTTTCTTGGTCAGCTGGCAAAACTGTGTGGCTTTTCAACATAACTGCTGATCCATACGAACGGGTGGACCTCTCTGCAAAGTATCCTGATGTAGTGAAACAGCTGTTGAGGAGGCTTTCACAGTTTAATAAGACTGCGGTTCCTGTTCGGTACCCACCTAAGGATCCACGGAGTAACCCAAAGCTGAATGGAGGAGTCTGGGGTCCATGGTTTAAAGAGGATGAAAAGAAGAAGAAGTCAGATAAAAGTAAAGGTGCTAATAAGCAAAAGAAGAACAAGAACAAGAAAAAAGCAAATCGGAAAAAAGGACAGTCATTGCATTGCCGATCACGTCTTGCTGGTGGATAGACTTTCAGCATACTTGTTTTTGCCAAGCCTAAGACAGCTTGGCCCAAATTCCTTGAATTCTGACAATACACCAGAAATGCCTGCTCTGCACTATGGAGGAAAGCTGTCATCTTTTAATTTGTTCTCAAATTTCACTCGGATGAGATATTTTGACGCTGCATCGAACATACATAAACATCCCTGTGACAGACTTTCTCCTCTACAGGAAGAATGGTGCTCTTCCATCACAGCTACATTCCAGATAAGAACACAATTACTCCTAACTTCAGAAGGCCCATTTTTGGTGGACAAATGATTGTTCCTTGCCTGAATTAGTTAGAATTTTTTGAGAGTCTGGAATGGCAGATGATTCATAGAGAGAAAGGAAAAGCAAAGCTTGAAAACTTCTGTAGGTCTGAGAGTATTAGCCACCAACCTGTGACATTTTTTGATAAAACACAGCAAAAATTGAAGCCAACAGTATCTTTTTTGGGGGTGCTAGGGAGAGAAATAAGATAGTAGGAAAGCTGCTTTGAATTAGACAGTGTCTCTCTTAGGTAAACCAGAAATACTTTTTAAATTCCCTAAATGTGCTAACCTTTCCTCATTTGTAGTAAAACCAGAAGGTTGTTATCAGCACACCTGAATAACTAGCACATGTCATATATAATTTATTATAGGCATAGGCAAAAGCACATCACCAAAGTGAATGTAATATTTAAACACTTTAAGATATCTATTCTACAGAACATGCAAGACGTAATTTATTTTACAGCACAATACTTTCTTCTTTTCCATTCAAACTTTAATTAGTGGGTGATGCAAGGGTTGTTTATTTGTTTTGCTTTTGATTTTTAATTTTATTTTCACTCAGTCATTCAGAGTTTTGTTCAACAGATCCAAATCCTCAGAGTACTGTAAAACAAGGAAATGCTGTAGACACTGCTAGGATGAGAGAGGAGAATGATTCAGGTACATCATTTCAATATGTATTTGCCTCCAATTATTTTGAATGTAACAAAGTGATTATTTAATTAAGTAGTCACGTGAGTATTGTTCAGTTTCTGTACAGAAGCTAGGCCATCTTTGTGTTTGGGGGGAAAAAATCTACTTTAAACTTTTTATTTATGTGGCTATTAAAATAGTTTATTTTTATGGCACTCGGGAAAGTAGTCTGTCTCTTTTTTTGCATCAAAAATAACAATTCTATCCTTGCTTATTTTAAACAAATTCAGTAAACTTATTGTTATTCAAACTTCTGAGGCAGAATTTCTTCTTCCAATACACGTATGATTTGAGAGCTCCTTCACCTTTGCCTCCTTCCAGTATGTCTGTGAAGATGATTAATGGGATGTACAGATTGTATATTTCTGGTGATCTGTGATAATTGATACAATACAAATACACATTCAACTTTCAAGATGAATTATGTAAAACAGATTATTCATTTGCTAAATAGCTGGTAACACAGTTTGGTAAAATTTAAAGTAAGCATGCTTTCCAACTACATCTCATTTGAATGAGAAATCGCATTCATATAAACTGACTACAGTTGAAAAATGAAAGCATTTCTAAAATCATTGCACACTAAAGTCTGAATCATGTTCAACACTCCAAAATGTCCCCAGTCTTTTTTAAAAGGAACTAACTGCAGATGTATATTATCAGAACCTGGTAATTTGCAAATTTGCAGCTACAAAGCTGAATAAAGCTGTCATTAGCAAATATTTAGAAACAAGCTAGTCAAATTTTAGAGTTACTCTGTAATGCATACACTGAGAAGATCTAATGAGTGGACTTCTTAACTAAGTACTTGTAAATAAAGGGATAATGTGTGTGTGCATGTAAGTGTTCAATATTGTTACTATTCTTTTCCATTGTGTGATCTCTAGGGGAATAATTAATCTTAGAAATCTGTCTAGCTTTATTTAAAATGCAGAACATCCAGTGAGTAATTAGGAACTCAGCCTTTCTCTAAGAGAATTTCTCAGTTCTTTTAAAGGTACTATTAATGTCATTAAAAGGAGCAATAATAACTTCTTGAGATATCATGCTCCAAAGTGTCCTGTGTAAAATACATGATTTTGAGAAAATGCATGGGTTTTTTTTTGTCTTTGAGAAAAAGTGAGACTTCTAAAAGTAGTGTGCATCAGTTACCGATACACAAATGTGTGTACCAAGTAGACAAATGCAGATACACTTTTTATGATGAATATTTCTAGTCTGAGAATGAATCTCCATTTCAGGAAACATTAGGAGAAGAGTCAAGGGAGCAGGAACTGGTTTTGAACCAATATGCTGTCTGGTTTACATTTTAACACATAAATGATCATCTTTATCTTTGAAATAGGCCTGTATTGAACACTGAGTTCAGCACCAGTAAGAAATAGTAACGTTTCTGACTTTCTGAGGTCATTTAGAAAGGGCCCAAAATTAGATACGTATGCTAAACTCTATTTAAAAAGGGATTGAGATATTTTAATTTATTTTGACATAATATAATTAAGACACTGTAGTAGAATGTTACACAATCAGTGATCATTCTTATCCATGAAATGTTTCATCATTGCTTTGGCTGTTACTGGTCTAAAGCAACCAGGGAGCGTTATTCTCTGGTCACGTTTTATTTTGTGATTATTTATTTCTGTTTTCTTTTTTTCTCAGGCAAAATGAGAGTCTTTGAATGCAAACAGTGCAAAGCAGAACAGTGGATCAGTTCTTGCATGAAATGTATGTGCCAAAATGTAAGTGTTTGTAGAGCACACATTAGGAGTACATTTTCTAAGGCTGCAGTGGCTGTCAGTTAGGATGATTCCCTTAAAAATCAAAACTCTGATCTGGTTTAGGGCAAAGGTTGGATTTACAATGTGTTAAAAATAGGCACAATTTGATAGCCTTCTTGAACCATTTGCTGAGAAGATCATGGTGAGAAAACACCACGTTGTCATTTTCCTGTCTACCTGTTACTCCTGTTTTCACTCCAGCAATACATTGTTCTCTTGTTTTCAGTGCTACTACTCTGCTCTCAAACCAAACTTTCTGTTTACAGAGTTGTAAGTAGTACATTCATTCAAAGAGCATGATTTCACAGGTTATTTACATCCCAGGATGTGTTACGTGTCCAATCTCAGGGAAGATATGAGAGGTAAGCACTGCAAACAGTTCTAAGAAACCACTGAAACCACAATCCTGCAACTCAGAATCAAAAGCAACAGTCCTGCCAGTTGCTGGACAGACACACTAAGGCAGTTAATACTTTGCTCAGGAGGATTTCTTGTGCAAATTTTGAGAAGATCTAGAAAAAGTCTTCACAGGGAGATTGGCAGGAAGGATATTTTTTTTAAGTTATCTCAATTTGTAGGCAGATTTAACAAATGCTATGGGTACAACAAAAAGTCAGCTCTGATTATAACTCTCTGTGATCCTGGACAATAATCCCTACCAGAGCAGCCCCAAGAACGAGAAAGACAAATGCAGGGCACAGAGCAAGAAAGAAAAACATGAAAAAGGAAAAAAAAAACAGAAACACAAAAGCCTTTCCTCAAAATCTGCATACCAAGCATATTATTTCATGCTAAATTTCTCTTAAAATCCTTCAGGTGTGAAAAATACTAGTTCTGTCCTTTTTAGGATTTCTCAATCTTATTCTGTGAATTGCTTTTCAAATGCTTCAATGATTTTATCAACCACTGTTATGTTAGCTTTTTGTTACTGTTGTTACTTAGTTTCAAATGACGTTGGAGAGAAAAATATTATCCTGGCTACAGGTAAATACTAGTGGAAGGAAGTACTATGAATGGTAAGTAAGTCTAAAATGACAATCTTTTTGTATGGATCTTGTTGTAAGAGGTGAGGGACAGTACTGAAGCTCAGGAATGGAAGATGAGTTATCATAAGTAATGGAGTCATTAGTGTCTGAAGCCATCTGATAGGTTTCTATATCTGCTGGGACACACAACTGGTATAGAAAGTGAATTAGGCCATTAAACCTGTCTCTCTGCCTGGAAGTAATGAATGCTGATTGGATTTCAAGCTGATGAAAGAGCACTCATGCTTCCACCTATACAGGATTATATATAATGGGTTATCTGAGGTATTGTCTAGACAACACTGAAACTTACTGGTCTTACTGCAAAGAATAGACAACTTTTTTTTCTTTCATTGCTCTGCATATTCAGCACTGTGCACTCAATGCTTTTACACAGCCATCCACAGTTTCAAAGTTGCCTTTTACTCATATGGATAGCATTAGCTTTTTGCATCACAAAGTGATACTGCAACAAAAGTTAGAGCATATGGTGTCAGATACTGGGCAGCTGCATTTGGGACTAGGAACTAATGCTCTATTAAATTTTATTTTAATTGAAGTAGCTTCAGAATTGGTTGATGGCAAAGAGTAGCTTCCATAATGCAATTAGATCGAAGACATGGTTATATCTTAATTCTTGAACTATCTTGAGATACTCAATTCCTTCCAGTGGCATTCTGGAACATAAATGTGGATTTTGGATCTATCGACTTTGACAACAAATGTCACTGAGAATTGGTCATTCTCTGAATAAGGAAAAATAATGGTAATAACACATGGTATGATCTGTAGGATTTTTTTTTTTTTTCAGATATAGAGATATGTGAGCAAAGAACTATATCTCTGCTGTCTGTTGTCCATTCTATCTGAGTCCTGAAAGAAAGTTTGTCTTCTTTAGTATATAACATTCAGAGGCTAACTACAGGCTCCCTTGGTCATCTTGCTTTAAATTGAGAATATTCCCTTGCAAAGTAAATAAAATATGGTTTACTTCATGTTGCATATATCCTAAACTGTACTATCAGTGTGAGGTCCACTTTTCCAAAATATAGCACTAGCTCAGAAAAGTACTCAGAAATTCACCTGTTAACTACCGCCTTATTGATCTGTATTCTTAGGACAGCACTGGCTTTGCTCTTTTTACTCTTAATCATTTATTTTCTGGTTTCCAAGAAAAGACAGAGAATGTACATTCCAACAACAAAAAAAGAGCGTAAGATTTAACTGAGCAGGTAGGTAATACAAGCTTCCCTTCTGTGTTCCGTTCCTGTAGAGCAGCGTACTAAATAAAGCATTTCATTTCATTTCCGTGGAACATATTTTAAGTTCTTGATGAAGCAAAAAGGTTATGTAAAAGGCAGGCCAGTGTGAAAAGAGAAATATGTTCCCTTTCCCTGAGTTATGCTTGTTTTTGCCTCTGCCAAATGAGTTAATAATAGTAGATATAAATATAGCTTAAAGCATGAAAGAAGTTCTTATTTAGTGCTTGGATTTAAATGGGTGTCGCAACACAGGTATATTCCATGGTACAGTTATAAGCTATTTCATAAATTCCATTTGTATGAGTTATAATCCAGGCAACATTATGAAAGTTTAGCTTGCAACCAAAATAAAAGAACTGATTAATGAATGTTTTTGTCAATTTCAATAATGAATGGAGAACGGGGTCTGAATATATAATATCATATAAACATAGAATAAAAATTGTTTTAAAAATTCCTCATAAACATCAGTCTCTGTAAAAGTCAACTATATAATCATATAAAATTACTATAGGCCATGATGTTTGTTGTCATTCCTTAACTTTGTCTAAAAAGAACACTTTTGAGAATTACTTGACACAACCATGATTATTCTTCTTTTGAATGAAACTTTGCTCCTGCTAATTAAGATTATCTAGCACAGAACTACATGCAAGAGAAAGTGAAATGATCCTGAAATCAGGAATGGTTCTCCATTAAAAGTATCTAATATGCAGTTTCAAAAAGGCCATAAGTAGTCTCAGAACTCAGTATTTGCTGAAATCCATTGTGGCAGACTAATTTATTTGTTTTAGATAACAAATACATGTTTTTGTTTCTTAAGGTGGCTAGAGAAGTAGGGAAAACATGACCCTATGAGAAAAGAAAGAGTACTAAGCTGTGGCTGGTATGGTACACAGAATGAAAAATTTGCAAGTTGCATGAAAGGAACAATTTGGGAGGATAAATGGAATGTCTTTATACTTTGCCTGTCATCACCTGCTGGTTCTTTGTTTTGTTTTGTTTTGTTTTGAGAAAAAAAACTTTACAAGCTCTGAATACTGGCAAAACTTCAAGGTAGAAGGTGTAACTAGTAATCTTTCTTCTTTGGGCAACCCTCTTAAATCTTCTTCTGAGAGCACACCTCTTTTTGTATTGATTAGTTCATCAGTTTTCATCAGCAAATTTCATTACATTTTATCACTTTGCATGGAGTGAATAGAATTAATTTTGACAAGGATAATGTTGAAGCTTTTTGTTCAGTACTGTTTATCTTCACCAAATTTCTTATGCCCTTGAAGTAATCTCTGAGCAATCTCTTATCCAGATCAATTTCTAGTATACAAGAATAATTGATCTCTTAGTACTGTGCGTGTAGCTACCGAGGATTTGAAAATTACATTGAAATCTTTTCCATACTGTTCTGGCAGCAGAGAAGGGTGTCCATTGTAGGCATGGGGTAAAATAAAAGTAAATCTCCACAAACAAGAGTTTGCAGGGCCGTGGAAGGATAATACAGCCCCAGCCTGCACGATGCCTTCAGCGACTCACAACCTTGCAGCTGCTCTCTTTAAACTCAGTTTCTTTGAGATTTGTACTGCTACTAGATTTTTTGAGTTCTCTTTGAAAGGAAAAAGGCCAAATGATTAATTTTGCTTTTGATATCAATGTGAAAATGTGCTTGGCACCCTCCTGTGTTGAACAGCAGCATAAGAACAAAATGTGCCTGGTTTACATCAAACCTCCTCTGGGTTTCTGTAAGGGAGGAACATGTCATGCTGCTTCCACTCCCACCACTCTTCTCAACTTCTCACAGGTCAAGCTAGCGAGTCATTAACATGAAAGTCATTAAGCTTTTTAGCATGTGAGTGTGCCAAGCTCCACAGAACAAGTTTAAATGAAACAGTACATCTTCTGGTTTCTGTACCTTCTTTCCTACAACTTTCTTCCACAGTTTCACGAACTTGGGGTTGTACTAAAATCAGAAGATTTTGTCTATTGCAGGTTCAGCAGACTGAGATATCACTGACATCTGTTTCCTTCTTATCCACTCCTGCAAAGGCCAGCATCAGGACTTGTAGTAGAAGACAGTCCTTGAAGTCCAGCTAAAATCATGTCTTTCTCAAATTTGTCATGATTGCTGCCAAGAGGTACACAGGTTTATACATTAGACTTCTCAAATGCAGTGTCTTGCTAACAACACAAGCTTACTGGGTTGCTGTTTTCTGTATTTTAATTCCTATTTAATTACTTAAACCTAGTAAATTCTGTTTAACTAGAAGATAAAAGTTACTTGGCTAAACTTCAAAAAAAGCATCCAGTTGTGATTAAAAGCAGAAAAGAATTTTAAAAATCTATTACTTCCCATTTTATATCTCTTGTAATATTTAATATCTGAGTTAAAAAATATGTCTAACTCCTTTCTAATTTTTTTTTTTCTGGCTACAGTGTGCTGCCTTTTGATGCATTTATTCCTAAGACTGAATAGTCTTTTGGCACCTAGTGTTTTCCTGTTTTGATTATACATCTGTACACAATCTTTAACTTTTTTTTAAAAAAAGCCAAACAGTTGGGATCCTTACAGTGTTGCTATAGCATTGTATGGCACTTTCTCCAGTTCTCCAGAAACTGAGGCTTTTCTGCACACCTTCTTCAGTTTTTTGGTAGAGAAATATGAATGTCAGAGGTGAATACAACATTACAATATTAATTTCATTCAAGCTGTAAGAAGGAACAAATACCACCTCCTCAGTAGTAAGGTGTAGACCTCTGCCTCTGATGAAATGCATGCCCCCCCTGTGACTCTTGAATTAAGGGTTTTCACCACCCTAACTACTAATTCTGGTACACCTTTATCCCTTGTTATATTCATTCTGTGCATCAGTTCAGGAGCGTTAGTAAAACACATTCTGTTGAATTTATGAAGTTTACTAAACTTATCAAGTAACTTTCATCACTTTGTGGCTGCCCTGACCCCTTGCTGTATATCACTCCACCAGCCTTTGTGTCACCTGCACATCTTGTCTGCAGTCATTTTGTATGGGTTGGACGCAGTACTCATTCCCATGAAAGTTTTTCCATTTCATCATGATTTCGAACTGCCACGTTGAAGGCCAACCGATAAGCTTTTTGCCAGTGCAATTTGGTGTATGCTTTGTTTGCACCATCAGAGTTACAGTAGTTTGTTGATTGCTTAGTTCAAACAGCAAAACAGTTTTGCACCAAACTGTGTAGGGAGCCTGAATCTCCTGTGGTGGATGGCAGCAGTAATGTTCAAATCTTGCCCTGCTGGCAGTACTGAGCCTAGAGCATCCCCTGCTGCTTTGGTCTCAGGATGGCACTTCCCAGCTTGGGAGCCCAGGAAAGGAAAGGGCTTCAGAACTGTGCATCTGTTGTTCAGTGTATCTCTTACCCCTTGTGTTTTTAATTCTTGCACTGGGAAAAACTTTTTTGAAACTTCCCTGAAAAAAAGACTTTGAGATTTTTTCAGAGCAATTCCATTCCTTATTTCAAGTTCCATAGCCTTTTTCCAAAAGCACTCTGGGCAATACAGAAGATGAAACTGTATCGATAGAGAGGATATCAAATACACTTATTATGCTTTATATCCCCAAAATAACCTAATAGCACCCATGCTTATAATTCAGGGAAGATACAGAGTTCCTCCTCTAAGGTGTAAATTTTTCAAAACTCACTTTTCTCTTTTCATGATTCATGGGAATAGTCCCTGTTTAACTTGCGCTTATTTAAGCCACATGTATTAAATTTACTCAGACATGCTTCAGGGCAGCATGCAAGATGAGTGTTCTAACAGCTGCATTCTCCAAACTGTACATTTTGATCATGTAAGTGAACATTCAGTGCCATAAGATAGCTGCTTTCCATAGCCGTGGACAAATCTTCATTCTGATTTTCTTGGTTCTGAGTATGCCTGGTGATTTATCATTGCTGAGTGATGAAATTTGCTCTGTCTCGCTGAAGCACTTAATGTGATGCACTACCTAGTTTTTTCTTCAACTGTTGTCCTTCACTGTGTGTACTCTTGGTTTTGAGCACTTACTGTACGTTTACTAAATCTGCCCTTGCAGTTCACAGTGCAGAGCACTATGTCTGTCCCTGTTTTACCTACAGAAAATGAGACACAGGTTGTTCCAAGGTGACAGAGGAAGTCATTGGCAAAGGCTGGCAAAAGCCCAATGTCCTGAGCTGTAGCCTGATGTTTAAACCATAAGGTCAGCATTCCTCAAACACTTCATCAGATGTGCTCTGCCAGAGTTTTGTAGCAGCAGTAGTTAAAACAGAATGCAGGTACTACTGGTTGTCTCTTAATTGCTTTGTGTAGCTGCTGCATACTGGATTTGGAGATGAGGAGAGGTAATGGATGCTAATGGATTGAGGGGGTGAAGACTATGTTCTAAAATACACTGCTAACTGTGTCCGTGGTTTAGGTGGGAGGAGTGGGGAGTAGAGGAATACTCAGGTCTACTTAATAACTTGTGTCCTAAGTCCTTCAACTGAATACAAGATGAGTTATGTTTTCCCCAGGATAATATCCAATATATTTGTAGAACTGTCTTCTAATTCTGTAATTTATTCTGTCTGTAACTACATCACGATATCATTTCGTCCATTCATTCACATTATATTTTCACTTGGTACTTCCTGAAAATAGAAACAAAAGTACAGTTGTGTACAAGGGTATCCACAGTGACAAAAAACATTGTGAGCTTTAATAATGAAAAATAGGGCAAGCCTGACACTTTGCTATTCACAGGTCTAGGTGAGATATTTACTGGCTTAAATGAGTATTTCATGAATTACAACTGCTGGTGCAACAGCAGTAAACCAAAATGGCTGTTTATTTAATTAGGGAGGGAGATGTAAGAAACACTGTTGGTGGGTGTAGTATCACCAGCAATTGCTTTTATCCCCAGAGGTAAAGGTGTGTCAACAACTCTCTCCCTCATTGTCTCCTGAGAAAGAAACTCTCAGGCGTGAAAGCATGTTTCTAGTGTTGCCATGAAGATTTATCAGTCCAGTGACCGGTGTACAAATATCATAGCTCCATAGTTTACTTTAAAGAAAAAAAGAGTTGTGTTTCAATGTGTATAAATTGTATATAAACTTACACTGCAAGATCTCAGTGATACTTTAGATATCTGCTATTCATTACAGTCCTGGTGGGTTTTTCCCAATTCCCTCAACTCTTGGTCTCTCATTATTTTCTGTTACTGTGTGTGTCTTTTTTGTCTTTCTCTTCATTTGCAATCATAAATTATTTTCTTTATTTCCATTAAAAATAGTAATTCTGTTTGTAATTCTCAATCTGTATTGGTTCTGTGTTTATGTTTTGAAGCAATGCAGATATTTCCTGATCTGTCATATACAATAAATAGGTTAGCCTGTGCAACTAGATGAAAGATTAAAACGGCAATTTGTTAGTTAGTTGAAGCACAAGCTTTTGCTAAATTATCCAGAATGCTTTTGCCTGACCATCTGTTTCAAACGGAAATGAATCTTTGGCTTTAATTATAAAACTCTTATGGATATTATTTTTCTTCTTTTTCTAACTGAGTTAGAGAAAAAAATCCTTTTGGAAATTGCTTGAAATCTCCCTGTATTGTATGATGGTACGATTACCTGGATATAATAATATATTTTTATTAGCCTTCCTTTTAATAATTTTAAATCTCTTCCTGCACTTGCTGCAAGTTGAGGCAAAAGTCTGTTACCAAACTTTGTTTACAAACTTATTACAAGATACCATGTTATGAAGCAGTCCAAGTACAAAACATGTTAAACCATATGGAAAATCCACTGCAATTTTGCTAAATTGTTCCAATGTTTAATTACACAGATCATTAAAAGTGTGCACCCACTTTCTAATCTGTCTTTCTAACTTCGCCATCTGGTCCTCATACCATATTATAATTTTTCAGGCGTTCCCCCTGAATTTATGTAGGCTAAGACCAAACACAAAAAGCTCCTACTTCAGGTGCTATTCTCCAACAAAGAATAACCTGTCTCAATGTGTATGCGCTTTGTAGATATTTTTTAAAAGAAAGATGCAATTCTTGTTATTTTAAATTAAATGACTGTGTGGGAGGAGGAGACTGGTGTGGTCCTTTCTGGGGCTCTTAGCTTCAATTTTGTAAGGAGCACTAAGAGGAGCTCTCCTTTCCCTTCCTCTGGGTAGGGAGCATTCATGTTGTCAGCAAACCATTCTCCATTTGGTTTGTTCTAGCTGGGCTGGCCAACATGCGTACTGCATCCAGCACATACTTTTCTGCCTACCCGCTCTGAATCATAGCACTGTCCTAACTTGCATCTTCTGTTGTGCAGGGCAACGACTTCTTTTTATGACCAAGAAAAAAAAAGAAAAACAAACTGAGTTTTACTTCATGGCACGTTTTCCAGCTTTGCTAGAGAACTTGGCCCTAGCGAGTCACTAAGACCTTGAGCAAAGAGAGGAATCTGCTTCCTGCCAAGCTGTCATCCTGAGCAGAGGCCAACTTGTAGCAGTTCAGTGTGGAGATGAGTCAGTGAAAAATGGACTTAGGTAAACACTGTTAACTGATGTTACAGAAATTTCTGCAGTCTCTCCAGAGAGAGCTGCCTTTATTTCTTCATCCAAGAACTACAGAACTGGGGAAATGTATGAAAACTCATAATTGAAATCCTAGGCTACGTGCTGGTCTTCTCATCACTTTTATCCCTTCAGATTTCAGTTCTTATCCGTCTTCATCATAATCTTTTTGTGCATGTCATCACAATGCAGACCTACACATAGCACTGGTTGTGAAAAAGAAAAACAAAAGCTCATTCTCTTGAAAGGAACTCTAATTTAGAATATGCCAGATTCCCTTTTTATCTTCTTGAAGGTATTTTCTCTCCAGAATGACCAAGGTTACTTTCACCAAAACATACTTTATTCAGATGGTCTCATAAAATTCTTAAATTAAAATCAATATTGTTTTAAAATAAAACTTAAAAAGAGATTTTCTTCTTTCCCATAGCTAGCTTTTACTGTACAGAAATTGATCCTGGCAAGACGTGCATAGTATACTTGCATTAAATAAAGACATTTGCTTTTTAGGTGAGAAGTTTCACTACTCTTACATCATGGTCAGTTAGCTTGTACTTTTTAGTC